TTTTTGAGACAGAGTCTGGCTCTGTTGCCTGGGTTAGAGTGCCGTGGCGTCAGCCTAGCTCACAGCAACCTCAATCTCCTGGGCTCAAGCGATCCTCCTCAGCCTCCCGAGTAGCTGGGACTACAGGCATGCGCCACCATGCCCAGCTAATTTTTTCTATATACATATTTTTAGTTGTCCAGATAATTTCTTTCCATTTTTTAGTAGAGACGGGGGTCTCGCTCTTGGTCAGGCTGGTCTTGAACTCCTGGCCTTGAGCGATCCACCTGCCTCGGCCTCCCAGAGTGCTAGGATTACAGGCGTGAGCCACCATGCCCGGCCTAACTACTACTCCTTATTGACTATTGAAATCAGCAGAATCCATGGAGCTGTCAAACAATACAGACATCTATGACTGATCCAAAAAGATCTGTAGAATATATTCATACACACAAAGGAAGAGATATCAATATTTGATTGAACATGCATTAAAATATTTCTGGAAAGATACACAAGTATCTAGTAAAAATGGTTGCCTCTGCCTTAGATATATAAGGGAGATACTGCTTACCCTTTGAATTTTTCAAATTTAAGCTGTATAAATATATTACTCAAACAAAATAAGGAATAAATACATCTCAAACGAACAAATGTGAAAAACTAACCTGGAAGATACTGCTCTTAAACCTTTCCTATTGGGCATTTGTGAAGTAACTATCAATATGGACTCCTTAAAGGGCAGGAATAAGAATGCTTTACACAAGTTTGCCAGAAATTTTATATTTTTCTTACCTGCTGTCATGGGACACAAAAATGGAATTGAAAAGCAACATGAATGAAAGACTGGAAAACACATCCTTGCACAATTATCAATATGGACAACAATAAAGGATACTGTAATTGTAGCTGCAGTGATTACAACACGCAATGGACCCCTCAAGAAGTAAGTCATCCTAGAGTGGTTTAAAGTCTTTGGAATCAGACATAGTAAGGTTTAATTCTTATCTCCACCTGTTACTAGACATGGGTCAATGAAAAAGTCACCTGATATGTAAAAAGCTCAAATTTCTAATCTTTAAGGTAATAATATCTCTGCAGAGGAGAGACGCTGTTTTATTCAATGCTGTAATTCTTAGTGCCGGAACATTACTTGGCACACAGAAGGCATTCAAAAAATGTTTGCTCTATACTACAAGGCTATAGCAATCCAATCAGCTTGGTACTGGCACAAGAACAGAGTCATTGACCAGTGGAACAGAACTGAAAACCCAGATATAAAGCCATCCTCATATAGCCACCTCATCTTTGACAAAGCAGA